GGTGATTCTGCCCCTCTACTCTGCTCTGGTGAGACCCCACCTGGAGTACTGCGTTCAGCTCTGGGGCCCCCAACATAAGAAGGACATGGACCTGTTGGAGCGAGTCCAGAGGAGGGCCACGAAGATGATCAGAGGGCTGGAGCACCTCTCCTGTGAAGACAGGCTGAGAGAGTTATAGCAGCCTTCCAGTACCTGAAGATAAACAGTACCTGAGACAAACCACAAGAAAGTTGGAGAGGGACTTTTTACAAAGGCATGTAGTGATAGGACAAGGGGTAATGGCTTTAAACTAAAAGAGGGTAGATTTAGATTAGCTGTAAGGAAGCAATTCTTCACTATGAGGGTGGTGAGGCACTGGAACAAGTTGCCCAGAGAAGTTGTGCATGCCCCATCCCTGGAAGTGTTTAAGGCCAGGTTGGATGGGGCTTTGAGCAACCTGGTCTAGTGGAAGGTGTCCCTGCCCATGGCAGGGGAGTTGCAACTAGATGATCTTTAAGGTCCCTGCCAACCCAAACCATTCTATGATTCTATGATTCTAAATCATATCTTTGCCTGCATTGAATAATGGCTATATGAAATGTAGGGCTCACATCCTTTAAAAAAAGTAGCTGAACTTCAAAAGACTGGGCTTCAGTGTTACAATAACTAAAGGACAATTGCAGGACAGTTGTTTTTCCAATGTCGGACAAGCTTTAATATAAATAAAAGTATAGAATAAAGATTTCTACTACTTACCAGCACACTGATTGTTTTCATCCAACTGGTAACCAAATCGACAGATCAGAGGTCTTGTAACAGTAGGGTAGTTAGGAACAGGGCCTGGTGCTGGGGGCGGTGGATAAATATTTGAATAAGGATTCAGATATGGTGACCGATACACTGGGTTTGTTCGGGGTACGCATAAATAGCCACCATTCTGGTTGACACACACCATATCTCCTCTGCAGGCCTCAGGAATAGTCCGACATTCATCAATATCTGGAAGGAAATTGCAAAAGTTAAATGAGTGAGTGCTTCTTAATGGGACCTATCCAAAAAATAGTTAACATATTTTTCTCAAGACTTTGCTAAAAAATTTGATACTCTTTTTGAACGGAAAAGCTAATCCTTCCTTGTGGAGCCTCACTTTGAAGTTAGATCATACTAAAACAGGAAACATCCCATATATTCAATATATCCTGTGTTCTACTTGTTTTACTTCACTATAAGAGGGTAGAGGGAGAGGGGAAAGCCTGCTTTGTTATTCTATAAATGTTCAGTTTAAACACTGATTTACACATGGCTACAGCATGCTACTGCCTGTTCCTGGTAGAGGGTCTGTCCAAACCACAACATGCAGATCAGGATTTTAAACACTGGTGGTTTGGTTTGCCCAGCTGTGAAACTTGGATCCTGATTTGGAACTCCTGAGCTCCCTCCCACAGAAAAAGTTAGGGATGTTCAGATCTGGGGACGTGGTTCAGGCCTCTTTCTTGCTCTGATTGAGATCGTTGCTGAATTAAATTTAGAAAGATATAAATGGTTTAGCCAAACTGAGCATTCGCTTGGTTCTTGGAGCACAGAAGCAGTAGGTTGCTATGACAGGGCAAGCAATCTGTTGCTTGTTTTTCCCTTACTGTTTGAGTGACTTTAACGCACACAGAAGATGCTGCCCTGGAGACTGAATGCCATTGATAAAAAGATGCTATAGGGCAAAGTGCGTGTTTCCCTATATTGCCTCAACAATTTACTTGGAGTTTCAACCCTGAGCAGTGCTAGACTTTATCTGAGCCTCCAGGTGGAGGCTGCCAACAAAGATAGTAAATAGTCTGGAGGAGAAAGAGGAGGGTAAACAACCCTTGTCATTTGGCAACTAGTCTGAGCTCCCAAATTCATCTCAATGCATCACAGCTATTTGAGAAGTGCTGGCAGCCAATTAGTATCTCAACAATGTCAAAGATCTGTATATATTTGCGCTATGTAAACACACACACATATTTCTATATATACGTATATAATTTTGTATATACATATACACAAACACACATATTTGTCACACAGCAAGAACTTTTCAACTAAAACATACTAACAGCAGCACAATGTTAACTCAATAAAGTCAGAATTTCTGAACCCCAATTTAAATGTATTGATTTAATTAAGGTCCTACCTAAGCACTGCCCAGAGGCACGGTCCAGGTCAAACCCATTAGTGCATTGTTGCTAAAATGAGAAAACAAAGGACACTCAGTGACTGTGAAATGAGAGGGTTGCAGAGTCAAACGCTCATCTGGATTATTATGCCTAATACAATTGTTCAGCACTATACAGTACACCAAAATAAAGTCCCTTCCCCAAAGGACAGTCAGCAAGGCATGAACCTGAGACATTAGCACGTATGCCAGCCCCTTAACTCAGAAGGTCGTTCCCTCAGATAGTGACGGTGTCAGGCTGTTCATCTCCCCGGCAGTAACCAACACATAATGTGCGATGGGCTCCATACCATTTGTTAACACAGAAGTACATTCTTCTCATTTGGTGTCTTGTTTTTGCCAGAACAGGGGGGCTCCGTTAAAAGGTACTAGCTAACTTCTCTAACAGGCTCTAAAACACCACGTATAGAGAATTCAGTATGTATGTCTTAACACGTTAGCCATCTGACCAAATTGAAACCATAGTTAAAACACAACGAGCTTAATAATAGTAAGGCTTTTACTTTACACCAAACCTTTTGATTTTTAGAGGATGAATCTTTACATGACATGTGTTCTAGGCTTGCAAGGTTACTTATTCCTTCCTATCCTATGGTGTTGGTCTTTAACAGGGCTGCAACCTGGAGTCTTCAGCACCTCATCAGTGACCCTCAGCAGTTCTGTAACAGTGACAGTCCTGGTGATGATTGTGTCAAAGCCCATTAAAAGGATTCCCTGCTCTCCCTAGTTTTTGACTGGGCCTCCGGCTATTTAACAAAGGGCCAAGCAGTTTTCACAAGCACAGGATCCTGCCAGTTAATAGGTTATACTAAGGAATGTAAGCAAGAGATATCCAGAAAACAGGAACCACTGAAGTAAGCAGAGGGCAGAGGGATGGAGTGTGTTCAAGATTCTTCCTTTTTTGTTGTTGTTAAGTAATAAAGACACTTATTTTTGGCTTTGTGGAAGAAATCAGTGGAAGAGTAAAGTACTTGGTTCACGTTTGGAAAAGTAGTAAGTTGTAGATGGGAGACAAGGGGTGAGATGGGTAAGTCAGTGGAAGCGGGCCATTGCAGGAACTAGGGAGGGGACATGAAGTGAAACGCATGGCACTATTTGGACTGCACTTGCCACTTGCACACATGAATACACAAAACCATTACTAGAAGTGTCAAGCAACTATGAAGGAATTCTGCCTTCATTTATTTTGGCATTCCAAGATGTTTTGGTATCATGCTGTGGAAAACCAAGATATTCTGATGGGAGGATGTATAATCAGCCTCATGTTTTAAAGAATGTACGTACTCTACTTTTGGTCTCTTTTCTGTGCTGTGGTGTATACACTACACGTAGGTTAGCAGGAAAAGTTAAGATAGTTTTTAACAAAATTATTTTCTTTTGGACAGTAAACAATGATTCGGAAACACTGAAACTACTGTAGAACTGGTTTCAACAACTTCCTAGAACTAGAAATCTTGTCCTAGAAAAGATTCCAATATTGTTGAAATGACCAGTCTCAGAAAGAAATTGTTGCTATCATCTGCTATTCAGAAATTCAGAAAGAATTTGTTGCTATCATCATCTTGGTTTCAAGTTGCTTTTTGCTTAGACTTCAAAATCAATTTACGGTACAAGATGTTTTTATAAAAATAGCAATGGAAACAATATTTTTTAAATTATAAAAACAAACCCTTAAAGACATCTCAAAAATTCTCCAGGGGCATGAAAAGCATTTCCCATACAGATCCAATGTTCACAAAAATATCAATAAGCATGCCATGTGCAGGAAATTTTCAATGTAGTAGAAAAAAACCCCTACATTTCAGAGCCTTTTGGCAACAGTATTTAGAAACACAGCTCTGGACACTGGGTATATCTGGATTATCAAATAGGAATTCAAACTTAACATGCCTGTGGGAACTGTTTTTCCTAATTTAAAGTCCACTTGGAGCCCAGGAACACAAAGAACTAATGCTTCTGCTATTTCAAGAACTGGACTGCTTTACTTCTGTCCACACTCAAGAGCCCTGCCTCTTGAATAAAAATGGGTTTGGGCATAAATTAAAATGAAAACTAGGATGCAGTCATTCAGGATCACAATCCAAAATTAAACAGTCTTAAGACAAGATCCCGCTACACACAGAAAACACCTATTTATATGAATAAGTTTTCCGAACGTGGATGTTCCCCACCACAGAACCGAGCTGTCCCTGCTCTCGTGGGATGGCTTTTCCTATTTCCTTTTCCAGAAGTGTTCAGTTCAGAGGCAGAATCAGGTTTTCAGTGAGGTCCAGGGATATTTTGCTGAGCTGGCAAGGATGAGTCAATAAGCTCAGTCCATGTTCAACTCCAGAATCCTGCTGGCTCCAAGTTCTCCCCTCTAAACCCTTAGACCACACAGCTTCCTTTTCATGTAAACCCCAGACCACAGAGCTTCCTATTCACCTGCTAGCCAGTTAAGTCTCATGCCATATAACGCTTCAGTACAAAACAGTACATAGATCTCCGTGTGCACCTCTCACCTGTGCTTTTCCAGGTCTTGAAAGGCAGACGGCCAGTGTGAAAGCAGTCAGTATCCTGTAATGTGCATAGAAAATAGGCTGAAAACCTTCTGATATCCAGGCTCATTATATAGAATTAAATACACATGGACAAATTAATTTCTAGTGACACTTCAGTGTATTCCACAGAGATTTGCTAACATGAATTTGGCCTCTGGAGAGGGAGTAATAAAACTGTGGGCCAGATTCAGATCTCAGCATCACTAATTTTACTATGGTTTTATGCAACTGGGATCAGAATTGGACTGAATATGTCTATTAACTAATCTATTTTTTATGATACCCCATGCAGCTGCTTAATGAACAAGTGCATAATATTCAGTAAAGTATTTTTGCCCCTCTCTGACACCTTACTTTTGAGAATATTAAAGTTTTTCTTGCACATTATGCACATTTTACAGATGGGTAAACCAGAGCACAGGCCCTGCCTAAGCTCACAGTGCAACGCACTGGCAGGGCTGCAGACATGTCATGCAGGAGGTCCTGAATCCAAGCCAGTTGCTCTAACCGCTAAACCGCATTTCATTCCCAGGAGACTATATTTGAGATTAATCCATTTTCTTAGGGCCAGATTCTGTCCCTTTACTCAGTCTTGAGTAATACATTGCTCTGCAAGTAGACACACTGTGCCAGGTCATCAGCTACTAGAAGCTGCTATCTTCAATGGAGCCTTCCCCAGTTATATCATCTTAGCATCTAGTGGGACCTACTGGGTCTCTTCACTGCAACTGAAGGAAGAGGATCCCTCGCTAACAGAGCTCTATGGCTGTGTTTGGAACTCCTTACCTGGAGCATGAAAATTCTGGTCAACTAAGCTCCCACCCCCAAGTATTTACTAACGGACAGAAAACCAGGAAAGGACAGTAAGAAATTATTTTTTTCTATGTACTATGGATTTCAGTGCTTTGCCGCTGCCTTATGTAACATTTCTTCTCAAAACAATTAGACCCACATCTTGCTTATCTTGGATTCTAGTTCTGAATGGCAATTGTATACAATACATTCCCACAAAACCAGTACAGGAAGCAAGGGATATTTTAGGTAGCCTTAGTTCTTCTACACAAGCGAGCTGCCAACTTTCTCTCTTAGAGCTGTCTCTGATTGCCAGTGCAAACTGAGCTGCTGAACAAGACCTACAAATGCATCAGACAAAACCACACACAAACAGTGACCAACACATTTGAACAAATTTGTTTTAAATGAGGAGACAGGCACAAGCTCTGAAAAGTAAACATAAACCCTAAAATGGTTGTTCATAGTGCTGAGGAGATAGATCGTTCTTGTTGGCAACCTTTGAGTGACAAGGAAAGGCAAATTCTGTACAGACTTTTCCTTAGAGTGGGATGCAAAGCATTCAAAATACAACGTTATCCATTTAGGCTTGCACTTCATTTATTGATTCCTCAAATCTTTTTTGAAGAGATTTTGAAGCATGCACTGGTATAAACACTGCATACTCACTTTGCATATAGCAAGAACAGCACTGGAAGGAAACACAACAGGTTACAGCCGAATGTTAACATACCTAGCAACTGGGCTACACTCTACATTATTGCAGAGCAGTGCACGCTGACAAAATCCCCTATAAAACTGGTCAGACAAAACTCATACGTTTCTAGACGGTCTTTAGTTTCCGTTGTTACAAGATGATATATCCTTTCCTCTTGGTGGGGGGGCAACCTTACTGCCTCATATGTGTTCTGCCTGCAACCACCATCTCAATTTGCTCGTTACTTTAGATCTCAAATCCCCTCAAGAATTATTAACAGACATGCAGCACAACCTATTAACACTATATTCAGCTGGTCACAGCAGCTTGCCCAGCAGGCAAAATATTTTGAACTAGTAATTAACTTCTGCAATAGTAACTAATTAGCTTCAAATCAATCACTGTAGCCAGCGGGATCGTTTGCTGTCGCAATTCAGCACTCCTGTGGATGCCGGGGTTCCTAAAGCGCAGAGTATAAGCACAGATCAAGAAGGAACTCGTCAGAGACAGCACAGCTTTAATAACAGACAGATCGTCTTTCCCCACCTCTGACCATTGAGATCCCGTCTCTTTGCAAATGGCTTTAGCAAGTGGATTGGCATACCGAATCCCTGCCACAGATATTTTCCACAAGTAGGTTTCCCTTCAGTAAGTAAAGAAGTTTCATGCATACCACTTACCTTTTTAATCCTTGCATGTCCAAAACCGTTGGGGAAAGGTGGAAAAAAACCAGAGTCTGTGCTGATGAATAACTAGAAAGTTTTTCCAAACATTACCCTCTGCTAGCACTTCAGTTCCTCAGTCATTTATAGTCCAAAGAATGAAATAGCAAGTAATGGAGAAGATCAGGAGCCGTCTGTACCTCCTCAGACACTGGAGAGAATACAGAGAAAGCACCTGGTTTTGCTTAGTTCTCTTCTGTAATTCAGCATTAAACCAATTGGAGGAGGAATGTTAAAAATGAACACTTCATTTTCTAAGTATGTTAAACAATGCAAATGGGGGCCTCAGCCTGGGACAGCTGGTTTAGATTACAAAGCTCACCAACTGGCTAGACTCCTCACAACAACCTCGAGGAGCCTGCCAGGATAAAACACTAACAGCTTGAAGGAAAGCCTCTCCCGCTGCAAACTTCACAGTTAAATGTGCCTCAGAGCAGAGAGCACCGTTATTGGACAGAAACCCTTATCAAGGGACTGGAGAAGGGAAGGGATTGTTTTCCTTGCTCTGAGAACAAAAAAAATGTCAGTCTTTTTGGAGGCCCTCTAGCCGGTGTCTCGGACGATGAATATGCAACACTCGCTGCTTCGTGCCAATGGCATACTGATGAAAGGTCTGACCCTCTGGGAGGTGAATAACTTGAATTCATGACGATCACAGCTACAGGAACTATATTGCTTGGGGATTATTTGAAAACAGGAATAAACAAATTAAATGCTCAAAGGAAAACAAATGGCTTGTCTACAAACACTGGCCCTTTTTAAACTGACCCCATGCTTAAGGGAGCAGTTTGTGAAATGAAATGCTTCTCAGGAAAGACGTATCTTGCAGATCTCCAGTTATGATTGAAGAGGAAGGAAATGAAGTACTTTTTCAGGTGTTTTGCAACTTTGCCACAGGCAGAGCTTTAGTAGGTCAAGCAGAACATTTATGAGATGTGAGAGGTAAGCAATCAGATGCTGCAAAGATTATGCTAGATCCAAAGATGAATACTGAAATTAAATACAGACATAGACATTGAATGAATACTTTGAATTTCTGTTGAGTCTTCCATTTGAGGAAACCCTTTATTCCTAAGGACCGTGAAATGTCCGATAAGATAAAAATCTATCATACATCTCTCTGTACCAGATTGAGAAACAGAAACAGAGTTATAACAGATATTCATAAAACTGGCCTCTAAGCATGGATACCCAGCTTGAGATACAAAGATTGAGCTGCTTCAGAGTTGCTGAGCACCCACAAGTCCTACCGGTGCCAATGGGAAGTGCACGAGCTCTGTACCTCACTAACTGGCTTGTAATTGTCCAAATTACCTTTCAAAAATGACAACACCACACGCTCAGTGCCATTTCTGACAGTTTGTGTCTCAGTGACTTGCTTACATCACTCGCATTGCATGGAAAATTAAACACCCTCCTAGAATTATTCAAACAGCGTCAATACATTTGCAGATAAACAAGAACCAATTAACTTATTTTAAATAGACTTCCCAAAAGATTAACGAAAACTCACACAAGGGACTTCTGAAGAAGCTCACGGGGCATGTTGTGAGAGGAAGGTTTTGTCACAGGTCAGAAAACAGGCAAGAGAGAGAAAGCAAAGACTGGGCAAATTTTAATTGTGGCAAAAGGTTAGCAGTGAGTATTCTCATTACTCCCTAAGTCCAGGGTTTCTCAATACACTCAATGATCTCAAGTGCTTACTGTATGCTAGGTGTGTGAAGATCTACTGAAACTATGAGAAACAGCTCTACAGCAAAGCGGATGCTCCAAGCATCCATTTGTGTGGATTAAGAGCTTGCTTCATATACTTGTTGATACTTCACTTGCTGATCCACTGAACTTTTCTCAGCATCACATGGTAAAACCATTGTACGTGTGCCAGAATCACCGTACGAGCGCAGCACCAGTCTGCTCCCAAAGAATTGCCTCAGACTAAAGAGTTCTGATTCATCAGTCAACTGGCAGAGGTGGTCCAGTGCTGGAGACGGGAGGTGAATCCAGACCTGACCACCTAAGGGGCTCCCTTAAGAAGGGATACTGTACAAATGTTTTGATTTTTCCTGTCTCCATCTGACAGCTGGAGTGGATAAAAAACAGAGTATAAAAAGTGTACCAAACAACAGCTTGCGCTAGTTTACAGTGTGGTGACCTTTTTTTTTTTCCTAAATAAAAGGATGTGATGTTATGGCTAAGTAGAATTTCTGCAGCACCTTTCTGTAACTGCCATCAGCCACAAAATAATGAGATGCAGCCACACCTGCCTCACAAGTCGCTTTGATATGAGGACTTGCATAAAGGAAGATGTTTGTGGTACATAAAAACTCCTTTGTTCACCCATGTGACAGTTCAACATATCTTTCAACACCATCTGCTGACACCTTCACCATTTATGCTTAGGATGGTCTAGCAGCAGGTCTAGCAGCACTCTCACTTCAATGGTCTCAACTATCCCCCCATGTTATAAAATCCACTAGTTTATTTAGATTACCTTGACGTTTTCTTTGTCTTCATGAGGAGGTGCAGAACAGCCCACAGTACAAAATGGGGCTCTGTTAAGTAACTGAGTATGTTCTTACAAGTTTGCTTTGTGCATAGCTAGGGTTGAAACTATAGCTCTAATTATGTTTGAGCCTTGGATTTCGGAAATTGTGTAATATATAATAATGAGGGGCACAAGCTACGTCGTGTAACCTTAACTCTACCTTCCTCGGATGAGACGACTGAATGTATGAATTACACCATGCTCCTGCAGATAATGCACCACGCTGGGTTAGCAGGGACCCTCAGCACCGGAGAACATAATCTATCCGCTTCTGAATGATAAGACAAAAGCTGTGTTTAGGTCAGGGAACTCAATAAGAGTTAACTACACTCAGACTCCTGAACAAAAAGTCTGCTTCACAAAAACAAGTCCTCATCTACTTTTACAACACTTCATCTCCTTTTTTAATTCTATCTGAAATTATACTTACACTTCTCCAGAACTATATCTGCCAAACACCCTTCTTAGATGTTCTTGCCATTTTTTAAAGTTCACCCTCTCTGAACATTGTCAAGGACATTGTCAAACTGTGGGAGCCGAGTCAAATCACACAGATCTGTATGGTGGTAGGTGTGTGAGCCCAAAGTCGTTGAAAGTGACAAGTCTTAGACATCTTTTACACAGCCATACAGACCTGAATTCACTAAAGGACTTTGCCAATAACTGACACTTGAAGGGTCTATGTCCAAGCTTTAGATGCTTAAAACATCCATTTTGCTCCTACCAACCTTATGGAACCAAATTTTCTATCAGCAAAACTGGTAAAACACTTAGAGCACAACTGCTGAGCATTTGCAGGAACAATTGCATTTTGATAGCACCTAAGCTCCAAGAGGTTCACAAGTTGGGCTTTCACCTGACTGTGGAGATTGATCTAAGTGTTCTTGGAGACTGCCAAATAAGCAAGCTTTTGATATTGCCACACGTAGATATAACACACGACAGGCAGCGATTTGAACTACAAACATCTCACCCTACTGCCACATGAATAGCACTAAGCACATGGGAAACTTGGTCTCAAACCCTAATTCTGCCTGAAAAAGAATTCTGCTCATTTCTTCCACCTCCCAGGACAGAATCCCAATTGCAAACTCTTGGTGTTTGGGGGGGGTTCCCTCTCGTTTTTCAAAGACTGCCTTATGCTATCAGCTGAGGTCTGCTTCATTCAGTGTCTGAATTGTTATTGCCATCTCATAACATGAACAATGCAGTAACCTGTTCCAGATGGCTCCAGCCAGAAGCTCAAAAGCACAGTCCCACACATATTTTCCTTTCCCAGCCAAACATAACACAAGCAAGAATTAACAGTGAAAATTAACATAATATGTAATTTTAAAAACATCACTAGTGCTAACTAAAATGTACTGCGAACGTAGAGTCTCCGAGATGTCTTGTCATGTTGTGTCGATTTGCAGGTCACACTGCTGTTGTTAGGAAGGAGGAAGTGTAACAGTTCCTGTTGTGCCGCTGTCTCTTGGGGCTCAGTTGTCTCCATATGGTACAGTTACCACCTGTGTGAGATATCCGTGGAAAAAAGAGCCAACACAGCATCCTTTTCTTCCCTCCTGTGTGGGGATGTCACTCACCTGTCTGAAGCGTGCATTTCTGTGGGATGACAATACTGCTGATGCTATCGCTGCTTCCCAAGAACAATAAGCAGAGTGCCCCTTTAATACTGTAGCAGATGTTCTCAGAGTACCCTACCAGACGGACCACATAATTTAAAGTTTTTGTTTTACCTTATCTAACTCTACATCTTATAGATGTAAATATCTTTACGGGTCTGTGGTCACTGATACTGGTTTCTAACAGCACATTTTCTTGCAGGAAAAAAGTAATCAGTGGAAAATCCAGACACCACTGGATCCATTCTGAAAAGTAACAACGGTAAAGATGGACTGATATCTGACTCCACTTTATTGCTTTGAAAACGTATTAATCATCCCATTAAATGAGGAATAGCAGGATCTAGCAGGTACATACTGAAACCCAAACAGCTTAAACCTGTGCCCAGTGAACTGCATCTGCTGTAAGACAAAACTGTTCCGGGTATAGTTCCTTTAGTGAGATCAAGTTTGATGTTCATGATCACCTGTTTAGCTGTAGTGTTTTCTAGGAAGGTCTAGGAAGGCCACCTGAGGCGAAAAAGAGTAATATTCCTGGAAGAATGCTTCATATGGTTCGGGGGTTTTTTCCCCCAGCAAAAGTAAGGTAAGCAAACAAACTAAAAGCTTTTTATAACTTTCCCAGGAAAAATAGAGTTTTTCATAGCATTTTTGGTGCATGTGACAGCTCTCAGCACATCCCTTCACATTACTATTCATTTGCAATGGTATACAACATTCTTCTTGATTTTTCAATCCTTAAATGACCGGCATGTATGCTTTTAAAACTATTTTCCTGTAAAAAGTGTATAGAACATCCTCCTGTAACTAAAGACATAAGATCTCCTTGAGAACTCACAGCTCCCCCTTGAGTTGTTGTGAGTATCCAAGAACATGATGCCCCAGCCACTGTTAATACTTTTACTTTTTTTTCTGTTGCATCTCATCCTTGAGCATAGCTCTGGTAAATGCAATTCACATTTTGCCTGAAACTAGACAGACATATTTGTTTGTTTTTGTTTATTTTCTAAGATTGACATGTACATAAGCGAGGCTGTGGTCTTTTCTCCTCTGCATTTTTGTCAAATGGTCTAGACAGTGTGGTTGAAAACAATGCTCTTTAATCTTGTGACAAGATGTTTACCAGCCCCCTTTAATAATAAGCGTAAATCCTTTATGGCCAATTTCAGCTAAGAATGACCTTCCATAAATAAAGACCTAAAACTCTTTTAATACTTCTGGACAAAGACTAAAGTCTGTTTCACTATTTGAGCAA